GTTAAGTTAGTTTGTTACACTACATTTACTAATTATTGTTTCTATTGTTTATCGTGTCTTTATGTTTTACCTGTTTCATTATCGTTACATTGATTATCTTATCTTCATGTTCTACCTGTTTCATTATTGTTTATACAGTACCTGTTTATCTTATCTTCATGTTTACCCGTTTAATTATTATTTACATTGTTTATCTTATCTTTATGTTTTACCTGTTTCATTATTGTTTACATTGTTTATCTTATATTCATGTTTTACCTGTTTCATTATCGTTACATTGTTTATCTTATTTTCATGTTTTACCTGTTTCATGTAGCAATATTTTGTACTTTTTGTATAACAAAAGTATTTCTCTTTAACGAGTTTGAGTTAAAAAAAAAAGAAATAATTACAGGTTATATTTTATTCATTATGTTGTATAAGTCGAACTTTTTACACACACATATGTTTGTATATGCCAAACACAGCATAAGTGATTAAATCCCAAAATTCACTTGTAAAACTTAGAAAGTGGAATATTTTAAAGTTAAAAAAGATATATTTATTTTAATAAATAATTCTTACGTGTGCGTTAAACATTCCTTTGACTTCTGTTGGATTTTTCACAATCTTCATAGAAATCAGTGGTGATTCCCGCACGAACCTCTTAGCCTGAAACCCAGGAGTAGCAAAACCATAATCAATCACAGATGGCGTTACTTTTATCAACAGAAACTATTTTAAATATATATATATATATATATATCACGCACTTCAATCTGTTTAGTTTATTTCATTGTTGATTTAATATGTAACACCCTGTACATATCACATCTAGTTACCCAAATGTTCGCTAGAGGGTATGGTTGACTCGAGTTACCTCGGGTATTAGGCTGTAAATGAAGTAGCTGACATATTCTGGAACTAAAATTTTGTTGACACGCTGCATTAGATTCCCGAGGTCTTCAGCTAGGTCATCGTACTCCAGAATCTAGAAATATGTTCAATAGTTTAATACTAACACTGGTATCTACTCAAATTACACAAAAACTACGTACATTCACTTGTTACCATACAGTAAGTGAAAATGTAGCTAAAGTTGGGCTGACATTAACTTCATTAATAAACACAACTATTATACATTACTAATGTTCTACAGACATATCAATACTGGAATAATAACACGAGTTAGTGTTAGCTAATACAACGTTACAAAAAAAGTGAAAAAATATTGTTTACATTGTTTATCTTATCTTCATGTTTTACCTGTTTCATTATTGTTTACATTGTTTATCTTATCTTCATGTTTTACCTGTTTCATTATTGTTTACATTGTTTATCTTATCTTCATGTTTTACCTGTTTCATTATTGTTTACATTGTTTATCTTATCTTCATGTTTACCCGTTTAATTATTGTTTACATTGTTTATCTTATCTTCGTGTTTACCCGTTTAATGAAACGGGTAAAACATGAAGATAAGATAAACAATGTAAACAATAATGAAACAGGTAAAACATGAAGATAAGATAAACAATGTAAACAGTAATGAAACAGGTAAAACATGAAGATAAGATAAACAATGTAAACAATAATGAAACAAGTAAAACATGAAGATAAGATTAACAGCTACTGTATAAACAATGATGAAACAGGTAGAACATGAAGATAAGATAAACAGCTACTGTATAAACAATGATGAAACAGGTAGAACATGAAGATAAGATAAACAGCTACAATGTAAACAGTAATGAAACAGGTAGAACATGAAGATAAGATAAACAGCTACTGTATAAACAATAATTAAACAGGTAAAACATGAAGATAAGATAACCAGCTACTGTATAAACAGTAATGAAACAGGTAGAACATGAAGATAAGATAAACAGCTACAATGTAAACAGTAATAAAACAGGTAGAACATGAAGACACTTAAGATCATCGAATGTCTTTAATAAGTCTTGACAAATTGTTTTTCCATTTGATCAAAATGTCGTCATTACGAAAGTCATCCATTCTCGGAGTGGTAATAATGAGTGCCCTCTGGATTAATGTGTTTTGTGTAGATAAGAGAGGCCGTGGCCTTGGTTGACTTCCTTTCTTTACTAGAAGAAGAAGTAAAGGCGGGAATCCCTTGGGACGAACTCAAAGCCTCGGCTACTGTAGCAGAATTTAGAGCGTAAGTTAATTATTTTTACCTTCTGTAAGTTACTCGAACGTTCATTTATCTTCTGTAAGTTACTGGAACGTTCATTTATCTTCTGTAAGTTACTCAAACGTTCACTTATCTTCTGTAAGTTACTCGAACGTTCACTTGTCTTCTGTAAGTTACTTGAACGTTCATTTATCTTCTGTAAGTTACTTGAACGTTCACTTATCTTCTGCAAGTTACTCGAACGTTCACTTATCTTCTGTAAGTTACTGGAACGTTCATTTATCTTCTGTAAGTTACTGGAACGTTCATTTATCTTCTGTAAGTTACTGGAACGTCCACTTATCTTCTGTAAGTTA